ACAACTTTCTTCAGCTCAACGTGCGAAAAACCGAGGCCCTCCTGATTGGCTCACGTCAGCGCCTCCGCACCTCAGGCGCTGACACCATCAGCATCCAAGGCTGCACTCTCCACCTCTCAAAGCCAGTCAGGAACCTCGGCGTTTTGTTCGACCCTGAGCTGTCCTTTCTCCCTCACATCCGCACCACAACTGGCACCGCCTTCCATCACCTCCGGAACATCGCCAGACTACGGCACTACCTCACCCCTCACGCTGCTGAAACCCTGGTCCACGCCTTTGTCACCTCAAGGCTGGACTATGGGAACTCTCTCCTCGCCGGCCTTCCCGCCACCTCCCTCCACAAGCTGCAGGTCATTCAGAACTCTGCAGCTCGTGTACTGTCCCGCACCAGGCTTCGGGACCACATCACTCCCACCCTCGCTCGCCTCCACTGGCTCCCCATCCCCCAGAGGATTGATTTCAAGATCCTCATCCTCACCTACAAGGCCATTCACGGCCTTGCTCCCTCCTACCTCTCCAACCTACTATCCCCCTACCTACCTGCCCGTACCCTCCGTTCCTCTGGCTCCGGTCTGCTCCACGTCCCCCGCCCCAACCGCCCTACCATCGGTGGTCGGGCCTTCAGCCTCTCAGCCCCGAGGCTCTGGAACTCCATCCCCCAGTGCCTTCGCCGCTTCCTCCCTTTCCTCCTTCAAGGCCGGTCTCAAAACCTTTCTCTTTGACCGTGCCTTCAGCTCCCCTCTCGACTCTCTTCCTCCCTCCCCTCACCATTTCCCCCCTCCTTGCTCCCTCCCTTCCCTCACCCTGACCATTTCCCCCCTGCTCGGGTCATGACCCAACTGTGCAGCGCCTTGGGACGTCCTCCTGACGTGAAAGGCGCTCTATAAATGGAATCTTGTTGTTGTTGTTGTTGTTGTTGTTATCAATTTTAATTTAATTTTTATCATCAATTTTACCCATAGCTACGTTTGTTTAAAAAATCAAGGGCTGCCATTTTCTTGCAGAAACTGCAATATTTAACATTTATCGCAACTTTTTAGAGCATCCAGGCTCAACTACTTGCTCGCTGACCTCCCCAACTCCTCCCTCCATAGGCTGCAGATCATCCAGAACTCTGCAGCCTGTGTCCTCTCCCGCACTAGGCTCAGTGACCCCATCATCCACATTCTCGCCCGACTCCACTGGCTTCCCATCACACACAGCTTAAGATCCTGGTCCTCATCTTGAAAGCCGTCTCAAGACCCTCCTCTTTGATTGTGCCATCAGTCACCCTCATTACCCCCTGCCCTCCACCCTCCCCAATCCTGACCTGCAGCTCGGGTGCGAAACACTGACCGTCTTGGGACGTCCTCCTAACGTGAAAGGCGCTATACAAATGTAATTTTGTTGTTGTTGTTACAACATGTAATGACTATAGTAAGTATGCACTCCTATTGTACCAGCCACCTGTCATATCAACACACCCCAAGTTCCCGTCTGCCTGTCCATCAACCCATCTCTTTGAAACATCCACCTGTCGGTATCGTCTTCAAAATACACAGACACAGCATGTTACAGTATATCCTAATTGCACTAGTTGGTCAGTGCCTGCCGAGCAGAAGGAGTGGGCAGGTTAGTAGGGTTTAAGAAGGTCCCAGAGGTGAGGTGGAGCAAATCCGTGGAGGGTTTTAAATGTGAGGCTGAGTATCTGGAACGCAATCCTGTGGGGGTGGAAAACCAATGAAGTGGTAGGTTCACGGAGCTTGGTTTGAGATAGAACACATGTTACAGAGCTCTGAAGGGTTTATAGATTGTGGAGGGAAGAGTTGGAAGCCCGGTGAGCAGAGAGTTGACATAGTCAAGCTTGGACATGATAAAAGCATAGGTAAGGGTCTTGGTAGCCCAGTGGGAGAGGTAGTGGTGGAGGTGGGCAGTGTTGTTAAGATGGGGGAAAGCACGGGCCAGAGCACGGATTGAGGTTTAAAGGACAGTTGAGAGTCGAACAAGACACTGAGATTCCTCAGAGGTTATGCACTGGCTCTATAATAATAATAATAATCCTTGCATTTGATATAGCGCTTTTCACGTCTTCACAGAAGCGCTGCACAGAATATACTGTAAAGTGAATTGACTGTATATTTGTGGGCGAACGCGGCAGCCAATTGCGCACAGCAATGTCCCACAAACAGAAATGGATTGAAAATGACCAATTTATTATTGTTTTGGGTTTTGGAGGGATTATTATTAGGCGTGTGGAGTAAGGAAACTTGCCCAAGGTTTCGCCCTGCCTGGAATTGAACTCAGGTCTCTCACCTGAATGAGGTGGAATGTGCATCCATGTAGCTTGATTCTCTCAGGCAGTGACAGGAGCCAAGAAGGAGATCCTCTGTCTTGTCGACATTCAATGGAGAAAGTTAGCTCTCCTCCAGGACTTAATCTTCGGCAAGTAATCGGTCAGAACAGCAGTGGTCCTGGAATCGAGGCTGGAGGCAGAGAGATAGAGTTGGATGTCATCAACTTACATTGGAAGTTAACCCCATGTCTGCAGATGACATTGCCGAGTGGGAGCATGTAGATATTAAAGAGGAGAGGACTGATGATAGAAGCCTGAGAAACACCGCGAGTGACGGTGCAGGAGTGGGAGGAGAAGTCATTAGCAGATACGAAATGGAGAGGTTTGGGATTGATAGGATTGAAACCCAGAAAGACAACTGTCTGAGGGCCGGTGGAGAAGGATAGCATAATCAATGGTGTCAAAGGCATCAGAGAAGTCAAGAAGGAAAAGGAGGCAGAGAGAGCCCTGGTCACAGGTGGAGAGAATGTCATTGGTGACTTGGACCAGGGCAGTCTCGGAAGCCAGATTGGAGGTGTTTGTGCAGGATAGCAAAACTGGCAAGCAACGACTCATTTCAATACCTTGGAGAGGAAAGGTCAGATGGAGATGGGATGGTAATTAGGACACAAAAGTCAGGGAAATTTTTTTAGCAAGAGGGGTGATGACAGTTATTCTGAGAGGGTTTTTACATGCCTTACTCATCACACTCACCACATCACTGTAATACACATCTCAATACTCGTAAAACTTCTTTTCAGTTAAGGTGGGTAGCTTCCAGTAAATTATCACATAATGATCAGGGCAATGCAAACTTGTTGTAGAAAGGTAGATCTAGTTAGGAAGTGTGTTTTCATTACTGAAATACTGTATTTGTATGGGGTATGTTAATAATGTAAAATAAATTGACTTCTTGAAAATCTTTTGTAAATTAAATCAAAAAAGACCCAATGTTAGTGAGAATTTATTTGAATCCAGTTCTGTGAAATTATGAATGTGCTGAAATAAGTAGTGTCTGACCAGCTACTTTAAAGTGTTTTGCTGCGATTCTCCAACTCCGACAATCTAGCCTTATTGTGTTCACTTTGGGAACCTCTTTATCCTTCCAACCTAATTTTATTGGTTAATAATGATTGAACCTGGTATCACATCATTGAGGCATCTCGAAGAGCTTCACCTGATATATTGTAAAGTGGTGACTTTACAATGATTGTGTATTCTCTGGTTGCTTCGTGTCAGCCTGGCTCAGTTGGTAGCACTTAGACCTATGAGTCAGTAGGTTGTGCCCCATGTTGAAGCTTTGAACTAGATTGGGCTGACATTTCACTTTAGTGCTGGGATGTGCTGCATTGTTAGGAGGTGTGGCTCTTTGAATGAGATGTTAAATCTAGATTCCATCCTCCTGTTCAGGTGGACTTTAAAGATCCTATTGGCACTATTTGAAAATGAAAGTGAGGTTTTCCCGGTGTCCTACCCAATAATCCCCAGATTAAATTTCATGTCTGTTTGTGGGATATTGCTGTCTGCAAATTGACTGCTGTGTTTGCCTATTTTAATATGCAGTCACTACATTTCACAGTAAAATCCTGTGAAACACCTTGAGATATCTCCCAATCTGAAAAGTGCTACATCGAATGTAAATATTATTATTAATGATGATTTGAAGTAAAACTTGAGGTGGTAGAAATCCACAACAACAATTTGCATTTATTTAGTGCCTTTCATGTGGGGTAGTGTCCCGGAGCACTTAACAACAGCCCACAAAGCAAAATAGGACAACATTTCAGGTTTCACTTCATCTGGACCAGTCACTCCTTTCTCTGTTCAAATCGTGAACTGCTATGCATTTTCACCATCTCTCAGGCTTATTTTACTGTTTCTTGGCTATAGTTTACAGTCTGAAATACTCACTCGTCTGACAAGGCAAGCAAGCCTATCATTCAGAGGCAACAGATCTTCCTTTGAATTGTGGGAATCTTCCTTTAAATAGACACTGGGAGCAGAAAGTTTCTGTTGGGTCTGGCGCTGTCTGCTTATAGCCAGATTGTGTTGCTACATGCTACACCATTTTCTTTCCTTTCTTGTGGAACAAAAACCTTGTCAGTTAGACTACGAGTGACCACAATGACCTATGAGAAATGATGGGGTGATACAGGGATGTCCGGCTTCTAAGTAGAGAATGCCCCATTATTTGTTTGTTTTTTTGATCAGCCGGGTGTCTGGCACATGCGGAAACTCATCACCATGCTTAAGAGTATCCAGACCAAACTGGATAGTCAAATATTAGGGTTAAAATTGTCAGGAGTGAATTTCAAAGTACACCACCAAAGTATTTGAATTCCAAGGAAAGACACTGGATGGCGCTGCAGACGTGTTTGCTGTAGGGTCAGTCATGCTTTTCTCAAGCTTCACCAACAGTTGAGAACAGCTAAACAACAACAAATTACATTTGTAACAATGTAAATAAGGTCTAATTTTTGATATTTCTTGTGGAATCCCATTAGAATTCCTGTCAACCCTCAGGAACTCCAGTCCAGGAGTAGATTGCTGCAGAGGAGAGTTAGAAGTCTCAATTTCTGTGCTGAGCATTCCTTTCTGTGGGTAATCTGTCCATGTGTTTAAATCATGACTATTTGTAGGTCATTGCTGTGTGCAATAGCATAGAAATTCTTTTCTTATTTTTGATCAGGTCTTATCACTGCTGGCCTTTATCCTGGAGGAGTTGGTGCAGAATTGCCTAAAATGCAACGCTCTCTACTTCTTTGAGTTTGTAAGCTGCAGTGCCTTTCTCCTGACGTTGCTCCTGCTGCTCATGATGGCCACTTCACTGATGGACAAGCTGGATCGAGTCAACTGGCAAAAAGTGGTAAGTAAAATAAATGGGAGGTCATTAAATGAGGCTTTTATTGTGCATTTATTTTCATCTGTATTGATTGATTGATATCAATCAGCCTGGTTCAGTGAGTTGCAATCAACTTTTTGAGTGAGAAGATTGTGGGTTCAAGCCCCACATTGGGTCTCTCAACTCGCAGCCAAGGCTGACACTTAGTTGGAGGTGCTGTGCTTCAGATGAGATGTTCAGCCTAGGTCCCATTTGAACAAGTGAGTTTCTCCCAGTGGCCTGACCCAGATAAAATGTGTCATTCACTTCATGGCTGTTTGTAGGACATTGCTGTGTACAGAATTGGCTGCTATATTTGGCTGCAAAGTACGCAGCCACTGTATTTTACAGCCCTTTGAACCTGTTTCACAGTTTTCTTTCTGTCTTCATTTCTACTGTATCCAGTGACATGATTTAAAAACCTACTGCAGTAAGAGGCTAATTATTGTAAGCCCACCCCCCCTCCCCCAAGACCCTACTGAACCAGTTACTGAATAGGAGCTAGTTCGTTGTCCAAACACTATTTTCATTTCCTTTGGAGCAATGATCAATCTGAAATTGAACTGTCGAAAGCAATAGGATAGAAATTCATTATTTTAGTTTTCAAAAACATTTTATCTGAGTATTATTGCTTAATTATCTTGCATCTCATATTGACTTTTGTTTCCTGATTCATCAAAGATAAAGATTCGTTCCTTCAATCCCTCTGTAAACTATGTACAATATGATCTATAGTGGACTCTATCCAACCCACCTGAAAAGAAAGGTTCTGTAAAGACTATCCTTGCATGTGCATGCATTCCAATGCCCTCTTTATTATTCTTAGACTGGCACAGACATCTAGCTGTATTCCCTTCTGGGAATGTAGAAGTGCAAAATGACATTAATGCACTATTGTTATAAGGTGTATACAAATAGGGACTTGAGCTGGGGTGTATCTGTTCAGGGTTAGTTTGACCTCATTATCCCTGCAGTAGCTGTGTAGCTTTCTAGCTCCTGATCTGCTAACTGTCTTTAGACAGATTGGTCAGGAACTAAGAGCACTGCCTCTGTTGCTGCTGTTTTCATTTGCCCTGTGACCATTAATAAGTGCTCCGAGACGTTGCTCCATATGGCGCTGGCCCACAGGGTGCTATATAAATGCAAGTTGTTTTTATTGTTGTTGTAATAGGTAGTTTATTCACTGATCAATTAATATCAGAGATTTATTATACACAAATTTTAAATGTTGTTGCATTTCCAATAACCTATAATTCCACTCGGTGATTAGTTGGAGAACAAGGTGGGAAGCTTGCCAGAAAGTGCTTTGAGTGTCAAGCTTTGGGGTTTAATCTGGTTAAGCTCCAGCAAACCCACTCTGGGGCTCTGAAGCCTTGACTCTTGTCAACCTGTGTCTAATACTCTCTGAATAAGCTAAGTAGAATGCATCCCTCCAGTGTACATTCTATTTCAAACATGGGAATTTCCATGTGTAGGTGGGATGCATGGAATTCTCAGTTTGGTTTGAATACTCTCTAAGCATGGTGATAGTTTTTGCTTGTGACAGACACCCGGCTGACACAACAAGGGCAATTACCTAGAGTATCTGAACCATTGGAGCCTGCTACAATCTCTGACCTGTGCTGAATTAACTGATGTAAGTTGAAAACTCATTGAAATTCAGGCTTTATCATGGAAAATGCTAGTCGCTGATATAATGTGCTATATTATAACCAGGTTGGAAAATTGTGTATTCATCCTAAACGCCTCTTTATTTCTTGAGACCAACATGGTGAGCGTTTTACATTGTTTAAAAATAGTAATATCGGAAAATAGAGGTTTACACAGAGAGCTGCTGATAAGTGGATGGTTTGTGTCAGTGTGTTTATCTGCCAGCACTTTATACTCGGGATAATAAGGTGCGTTGAATATTACTCTCCTGACGTAGTTTAATGCAGAACCTCCTGTGTTTGGATTTTCACAACCTTAAAGAGTTAAGCACAGTGGATAGCATCTGAATGTAATGTATTGGGGACCGACAAGGCTGCTGGCATCATTGAAAGCTGTTGGGACCAAGCCAAAGGGATCACAGGGTTTCCAGACTGATCTGCGAGAGCCTGGTAGGATTTCCATACAGCAGCACAAATGGCTAAAACGTTAAACATTAAATGCTGAATGTATTCTGACATCAAATCAAAAGCTGGAGCTCCATCCTTAGCATTGTCTGTATGAAAGAACTGGATTCAGCATCTGGATAAGGCTAGTCATATGTAGCTGGCATACGTATGTGGAAATCTGGTTTGGATACTCTTAATCATAGTGATGGACCTCTGCATCTGTCAGAGACCAAGATGATGGTAAAAAAAACTAGGCTGGTTATTAGAACCATGGGTTACCCTGTTTCTTCTGTTATTTTTGACACCACCATTTTCAGATACAAACCACAATACATTCTGGGTCTCTGACACACCCAGCCTGGTGCCCAAATTCATTCATCCTCCACCAGAGGGCACTGGAAAGTGATCAGGAGAGAGAACACTGTCCAATTTATTGCCCCCCCAACCCCCACGCTGTTGCAAATTAATAATTTTCCTTTCAATGAGTACAGTACAAGCCTCACATTAATGCATCTGACTGTCCTGTTGGAATCAGCTGGACTCTCGAGTCAGTTTAACCTGTTGCTGGCGTGACTGAGATCCACTGATACAGCACAGACTGGGTGAACAAACTGGCTGAAATGCTGGAGGAGCTCATAGAAATATTTAGATGTTGTTAGGGTTTGGCCTTCCTGTTGCAATCAACTTTGGATTATTTCAATGGAATTTCCCTGCGTTTTATACACTTAGGTTCCAGAAAGGCAGATGCCAACAGGAGGATGTTTCAAATAAAATTGGGCCCCTCTTGTCATATGATGCAGAGTTCATTTGTTTTGTAGCATGTGATGCCTCAGTCCTGCATTAATGCAGGCAGTTAGTGTGAGCTCATGCAGGGCATAGTAAAAGATAAACTGGTGGATGTGAGAACTGGGCATAATGCCTATTGTGCACTTCACTGAAATATGTAATTTGTCCAGATTGTCTGTGAGGTGCTGGAGCCTCAAACAGATAAATCGCACCAAGTCTGCCTTTTATCTGGAGAACAGACATAATACTAATCCTTGCATTTGATATAGCGCTTTTCACGTCTTCTAGACATCCCAAAGCGCTTCACAGAATATACTGTAAAGTGAATTGACTGTATATGTGTGGGCGAACGCTGCAGTCAATTGCGCACAGCAGTGTCCCACAAACAGTCATGGATTGAAAATTACCAATTTATTATTGGGTTTTTTTTTCTTTTGGAGGGATTGTTAGGCGTGTGGAGTATGGAAACTTGCCCAAGGTTTCGCCCTGCCTGGAATTGAACGCGGGTCTCTCACTTGCAAAGCGAGTGCTCTAACCACTGAGCTACAGGACTCCACATTATGTACACTGACAGCCCTCCTCCCCATCCGTCCCTTTTGTTTAAAACAAAACTGTACAAAAGAAAATAGTGTCTGGCAGCAGATTGCATAGAAATTATCAAAGGGAAATGTTGACTCTTAAATTACTGTGAGCCAAAAGCAAATGCTGGAAATTCACAGCCCATCAATCAGCAGTTAGCATTTTGGCCGATGGCTTTATTTAGAACTGGTTCCTGTTTCATTCTCATGCTGTTTGCCCATCTATGGATTTCCATGATTTTCCAATTTAGTTTTTTTTTGTGAGTTCCTTTGAGTAATTTCAGTGTGATGTGCCCTCCCATTGCGCCTCGTCTATAAAATTTATTTATAGGAGTTATCAGCTTCCTTTCCTTAGGATGAACAATCTTGTATTTGGATGCTGAAGACTAGAATCATAGAATTATACAGCACAGAAGGAGGACATTCGGCCCATCGTGTCTGTGCCGGCTCTTTGAAAAGAGCTATCCAAATCAATCCCACTCCCCCGCTCTCTCCCCATAGCCCTGCAAACTTGGCCTCCGCAAATAATTATCTACTTCTCTCTTAACAGTTGTTATCGAATCGACTTCTACCACCCTTTAAGGAAATGCATTCCAGTTCCAAACAACACGCTGTGTGAAAACATTTTTCCTCACCTCCCCTCTGTTTCTTTTGACAACTATTTTAAATTGGTGTCCTCAAGTTACCGACCCACCCGCCAGTGGAAATAGTTTCTCCTTGTTCAGCCTATTGAATCCCCTCATGATTTTGAAAACTTTTATTAAGTCTCCTCTTAACCTTCTCTGCTCCAAGGAGAATAATCCTAGTTTCTCTAGCCTCTCCTGATAACTGAAGTCCCTCATTCCTGGTACCATCCTGGTAAATCTCCTTTGCACCCTCACCAATGCCAGCAGTGAATTACAATTATAATTAATCCTTGCATTTGATATACTACAGTGCCTTTCACGTCAAGAGGATGTTTCAAAGCACTTCACCAGACTGACTGTGAATTTTGTAGGCAAGCACGGGAACCAGTCTGCACACAACACAAAGAGCCATGAACTGAATGATCAGTTTTATCTGAGGTTTGTTGCCGAGGACACGGGAGAAACACCCCTCTTTTTTCAAGTAGGATTGTAATACACAGTCATTGCCTGTTAGAATATATCTTTGAAGCATTTTGAGATGTCCTTCTGTTGTGAACGGCTCTATATCAAATGCAAGGAATATTATAATAAATACGCAGTCACTACACTTTTACAGAAGTCTGTGTGAAGCACTTAAAATATTTCAACATGCTGAGTTGAGTCATTGTATCAACTGCAAATATTATTATTGAAGGCTTAACTGGATTTGTGGAATTTTTGATGCATGGAAACTCTGCTAGCGTCAACGGTGGAAGGGAGTGACTTAATTTGTTCTAAAAGGTCAATAGTGAAGCGTTTACAAGGCAGTAATTCACTCAACACATAGACTTTTTGTTCACCTACAAATAAAATGTATTTTTTTAAAAAATACTCATGAATAACCTTTATTCCATGTCTTA